GCAAGGCGAGGTGGCACCGATACGGCGGACGTGCAGCACGCAGATGGAGCAAAGCCAGCCGAGGTCTCGCCAGCCTAAAAAGGGGGCCTTCGTAATTAGAACAGGGTTTGGGGGGGGTTCTTGTCGTCTTACTATGTAGGGACCGTAAGGGAATACTAGCAATAGTTATTCCGACCCCTACAGTAGTAGCCTGAAGCACTAGAACCAGTAGAAGTGGTAGCTGGTCTGAAGGGATACGAGGAAGGGAAAGAGGCCAAACCCTAACCCCCCCTCAAAACAGAAAAACAACCTTCGCCCCTAAACCCTAAACCCTGATTCCTGAACCCAGAAGCCCTACGCCCTAAGCCGTAAGCCCTAAGCCCTCAGCCCTAAACCCGAAACACCCAAATGCCCTAAACCTCGAGGTTGAACCCTGAGCTTCCAGAGCTGAACTTGGGGGGTTTAAAGGGCACGCCGTGGATGGAGGAGAGGCCTCGACACGAAGGGCCTTTCTGGTCTTTCCCTGGGTAAAGATGAAGCCCCATGAGCCCTTCCTCCTGGGTCAGGGTGTTGAAGAAAAGCGGGTTGAGGGTTTAGGCAGCCCACGCGGTTGAGGTTGAGGTTCGGGGTTTGAAAGTTTGGGGTTTTAGGGTAAACCTTTGGGGCTCTGGTTGAAGGGTTAAAGCCAGGCGGCCGACGACGCCTGTGGAAGCTACGGAGATCTTCGGCAAGGTGTTGAAGAGACTCGCCACTGAATTGGTTTTAGGACTTAGGGTTAGTTAAATCCTCACATGCTCTCTCTGTCTCTCTCTCCTCTCCCCGGCTTTTTCTTGTGTTCCCTCTCTCTCTCTCTCTGTAACCCTCTGTCTCCCTCTACCTCCATCTCATGCGCTCCGGTGTAAGTGTAGGGTTCAAGAAGCTCCGACATCCCAGCTTCTCTCTGTCACGGGGTTGTGGTTTGTCAAATTTCGGAGAGGGTGAGGGTAGATCATTCAACACAGGAGCCCGCCCCAAGTAGTTACCGACACAATCTGCTCTGGATCCCAAGTCCCTCCCCACGCAGCCACCAGCCCTAAGCCCCCTGCACCTCGAACCCGAAACCCCAAACGAACACACCCTGTAACCCCAAACCCCGTTTCAGGCTTGTAGGGTTTAGGTTATACAACTGCCTTCCAAACCCTTGAGAAACCTAAACCCGCTTAACCCGAAAAAAACCGTATCAGCCCTATAAACCACAAAAAACCCTATAATCGCTGTAAACCCTGTAAACTCCAAAAGCCCCACAAACCCTGTAAACCCGATAAACCCTAGCCCAAAACCCTAAACCATACAAACCCAAAAGACCCGACAAACCCTCGCCCTAAACCCTAAACCCTATAAACCCAGTAAACCCTCATCCCTAAACCCTGTAAGCCCTATGGACCCCATGAATCCTAAAGACCCTCCAAACCCTAAACGCTAAACCCTAAACCCCAAACCCTAAACCCTAAACCCCAAACCCTAAACCCTAAACCCTTTAAACCTCAAGCCCTAAAGACCCCTCCAAAACCCCACAGGGACAGCAGCTCCCGATTCCTGGTCTCCTCGAAGGGCTCCGACAGCTCAGACTCGAACCTGACAGGAACGCCCCCGGAGTCCAGACAGTTTAAGGCTTTTAGGGCTTTCTTAGGGGAGACAGGTTAAGGCTTTTTCGGGCTTTCTTAGGAGTCCAGACATTTCTTTTTTTTGGCCTTTGAAGGGCTTTTATAGGGCTTTCTGAGGGTCTGTAGGGAGTCGAGACAGTTTAAGGCTTTTTAGGGCTTTCTTAGGGCCAGAGTCCAGACAGTTTAGGATTTTTAGGGCTTTCTGAGGGCCGGAGTCCAGACAGTTTCAGGCTTTTTAGGGCTTTCTGAGGGCCGGAGTCCAGACAGTTTAGGGTTTTTAGGGCTTTCTTAGGGTCTATAGGTTTATCAAATTTAGGGTTTACATAGGGCGTTTGAAGGGCTTTTATAGGGCTTTCTTAGGGTCAACAGGTTGTCTTTGGGGTTTATAGGGTTCAGGGTTTTTGAGGCTTATGTATAGGGGCTATAGGGCTCAAAGGGCCTAACTTATTGGGCTTGGGGAATTTTAGGGTTTATAGGGTTTGCAATGGTTTATGGGGGTAATAGGGTTGATTTTATAGGGTTTATCGGGTTTACAGGGTTTATAGCGTTTTAGGGCTCGGGCTTGGGGTTTTTTAGGGCTTAGTCTCGGTGCAGAGGTTGAAAGATGTTCAGGGCGTAGCCTCACAAGAATAGGGTGTGTGGTCTGAGCTCTTACAGATCTGCCTGAATCCCCCGAAGCATTCGGGTCGGCAGCTTTTCACGTGTTCGGGCGCTGTGTGTTCAGAAAAGGATAGCTGGTAACCTGGACAAGCAAGGACCCTAAACTTGTCTTAGTGTTTCGTTTTTGGGTACTTGAGTACCTAAGAAACAGCGAAAATCACAAGTTTTGCTGGGTTCCAAGTTCAGTTTAGTTGTAGGTTGTCCCCTAAACCCTAAACCCTAAACCCTAAACCCAAAACCCTAAACCCTAAACCCTAAACCCTAAACCCTAAACCCTAAACCCTGGAGGGGTTGGGGCTGTGCCAGGCTTCCTGTTCAGCACCGGTGTCGGAGAACGGATGGCCGAGGCCCACTTTCCCTAAACCCCAAACTTGATAGGGATTAGGGTTTAGGGTTTAGGGTTTAGGGTTTAGGGTTTAGGGTTTAGGGCTTGGGATGTTCCCCCTTATACTAGCAGTCCTTGATAGGGATTAGGGTTTAGGGTTTAGGGTTTAGGGTTTAGGGGGAATATGTAGGGGGTACTACAATCCCGATTAAGGACTGTTAGTATACGGGGGAGCATTCCAACCTGAACCCTAAACCCCGAACATGGTCAGGTCTCAAAGGTATCGTCCCCGTTTTCTGGGTACAGTGCCCTCAGTATCAGTGGCTGTAGTCGAACATTGACTTCCCAAAGGGGCCCCTGTCCAGGGCACTGAAGTACGGAGGTTCATGGGCAGTGCAACTGCAAGGAGGGTAACGGCGTCTACAGGTGGCGATAATCATTACTTGTGGGGGTGTGGAGATGGGGGGGTGCTTGCTGCTAGCAAACCATGAACCCCCTAAACCCTAAACCCCAAACCCTAAACCCGAAACCCTGAACGTACTCTCCAAACCCCCCAAGGAGCCTAGCGACGTTCCACCCACCCCAGGTTCTGGAAGCCGACCAACGACTGGCAGAGGCACTTTTGGTGGGGTCCGGGTGCAGGGTTTTGATGGGACCCTAAACCCTAAACCCTAACCCTAAACCCTGAAACCGGACCCCTAACTGAATCTCACACCCCAAGCCGGTTTGCTGTTCTAGGGCCGAGGGTTCGCTCAGCCCTAAGTCTAAACCCTGATTTGCTAAGGGGGCGTGTCTGGGACTTCGAAGTTGTGAGGGTGCCCAGTAGTGCCAATTCGAGAAGCCTTAAATGAGATGTTTGGGGTTTAGGCTTTGGGGCTTATTACCCTCTTAGAATCCCGGGCCCACGAAGCAGGCTTTCAGAAGCACGCCCCGGTGTGCTTGCATGTTGGAAGCTGCAAAAAAAAAGATGTAATTCAATAGGCCCTGGGTTATATGGCTTTAGGAGGAGATTTTTCTTGAGTTTGTCGGGATTGCTCACCCCCAGCCCAACCTCTCCAAACCCCCTACACTCCAAGCCCTACACCTCGGGTTTAGGGGTTTGGGGTTCAGGGACCCTATACCCAGACCCCTGAAAGCCCTTAAGCCCTAAACCCGAACTCCCAAACTCTAGACCACAAACGCTAAACCTAAACCCCCGCCCCAATTCCTTCAGACCCTAAACCAAACACCCTAAACCCTCAACCCCTAAACCCCTAAACCCTGAACCCTAAACCCAAAACCCTAAACCCCTAAACCCCTAAATCCTAAACCCTAAGCCCTAAGCCCTAAACCCTAAACCTTAAACGCCAGCCCCAAGCATCCTCGCAGGAGCAGCCCGTGCAGCTCACGGCCCTGCGCACCCAGGCTCGCGGGCTTTATGGTGGAGGGCATTCGGGTTTAGGGGTTTGGGGTTTGGGGTTTAGGGTTTAGGGTTTGGGGTTTAGGGTTAGGGTTTGGGGTTTTCAAGTGTGCAGGCTCGGCGCTTCGGGGGCTTCGGAGCTGCAGGGCTTTGCGAAATCCTTACCCAAACCCTAGGCCCGAAACCTAAACTTACCCCAAACCCCAAACCCCAATTCAGAACGAACAACCCCCGCGCCACCCCAGCTCAACTCTCAATTAAGGTTCCGTGAGGATAATTCCAACTTGGCCCCCATATTGCCCGCCGTTTACGGAACGCAGTTAAGTTGCCATAATATGCCCCAAACCCAACCCCTGACCCCACGCCCAAACCCTAAACCCTATCCCTAAAGCATGCAACTCAAGTCTTGACGCGGCCAGGGAGTTCTGGGTGCCGGGGCCTTCGGCAAAGTGTTCAAGGCCCGGCGTTCATTGCGGATTAGGGGGTTTGGGGCTTCAGGGTTTCGGGTTCTAGGGTTTGGGGATTGTTCGAGTTTGGGAGCTGGGATCTTCGGGGTTTGGGGGTTCGGGGGAGAATTCGGGTTTGGGGAATGTTAGAGTTTAGGGCTTAGCAGCGTTGGGGCGTGGGGTTCAGAGGTTAACAGGCTTAGGGTCGTAGGGCTCACACGGGGCTTCACGGGTTAGTTTGAGCTCAAGCTCTGCGTCGGGTAACTAATCGGGCTTAGGGTGTAGGGTTCGGGGTTGAATTGTTTTCTCCTGATATTGGGCGACTCAAAACCCGGCAAACCCTACCCCCAAGTTTGGGGTCCGTAAGTTATCAGTCTGACACGGGCTGTGGCACGAAAAGACCTGACAGCGCTGCGCCCCTAATATAAAGCCCACACCCCACAAAGCCTACAACCGAATTGGACCCCTGAACCCCAAAGCAGAACGCAAGAATATTCAGATCAGATGCCTCGAGCTCAGTGTCACCACTCGTTACCCCCCCCCTCCTTGCCATGGAGGGGCGAAACCGCAATTTAGAGTTTAGGTGTTACATGAGGGTTTAGAGTTAGGGTCCAGGGTTGAAGCCCTAAGTCCCAAAACGCCAGCCTCACCGTTTTTGCCTTGTGAGGTCCAAGACGTCGCCTCAGCCGAGGTCTATGCCTTGAAGCGACATGGTTGCAGGTCAAAGCATAGGTTTAGGGTTTAGGGTTTAGGGTTTAGGGTTTAGGGTTGGGCCCTTAGGGTTTAGGGCGTAGGGGTTTAGGGTTTAGGGTTTAGGATGTAAAGCTTGCTGGACGTAGAGTTCAGGGCCCAGCGGTGCTGGAGCCGAAGCCGTTTAGGGGCTCCAGCTTCGTCGGTGCGAATCCTGGTCGCTCTTTTTGGTTTGGCGAGCTTGTGCCGTGCCCAAAAGAAGAGAAACATAAAGAAAGCTGACCTGCGCGCGCGCTCTCTTGTGATGCTGGTCGTTATTCAAAAGTAGGCCGCAGGGCTTCAGATGATCCTACTCTACACCTCTAAGCCTCAAAGCACAAAGCGCTGAGCCTTGGAACCTTCAACCCTCGCGCCAAAAACGCCCACCTGAACCCTAAACCTTGAACCCCAAGTGCTATAAACCCTCCAAACTCCTGAGCCCCAGAACCCTGAACCCTAAACCCTTGAAACCTGAACTCCAACGACTCCTAACACCCCTCCCGACCCTAAACCCTAAACCCTAAACCCTAAACCCTAAACCCTAAACCCTAAGCCCTAAACCCTAAACCCTAAACCCTAAACCCTAAGCCCTAAGCCCTAAGCCCTAAACCCTACACCCTAAACCCTAAACCCTAAACCCTAAACCCTAAACCCTAAACCCTAAACCCTAAACCCTAAACCCTAAACCCTAGACCCTGAACCCTGAACCCTAAACCGCAAACCCCAAACCCTAAGCCCTAAATCCTAAACCCTAAACCCTAAGCCCTAAACCCCAAACCCGAGGCTGCAGCGCCGCGACCGCGCGTCCAAGTTCGCCATCCGCGAGGCGCAGGCGCTGCACAGGCCCGGGGCCGAGCCTTCTCTTTTGTACTTAGTAGCCCAGCGGTGCCCTTTACCCTTACCCTTTTTCTGGTTATGGGTTCCCTTGTAAAGTAACCAAACCCCAAAAAGGCTGCCCTTAGTGTAATATGGTTACTGGGCTACTAAGTGTAGGAGTACTTGAAGGTTTAGGGTTTAGGGTTTAGGGTTCAGGGTTTAGGGTTCAGGGTTCAGGGTTTAGGGTTCAGAGGGTTTAGGGTTTAGGGCATAAGGTTTAGGGTTTGAAGGTTCATGGGCATAGCTAGAAGTGTAAGGTTCTAACTACCCTCAATAGTGGCTACCATGATTATAATTCACCCTGCTGATGACGACCTCCCAGTGCCCTCCCCAAAGCTAACATGTACATACTTCAGATGGGGACGCCATTTGGGGGATCCATTTTTATTGGAAGGATAGGCAACAGTCCTATAACCATCGTAAGGAATTTCGGGCGGGCTTAGGGAATTTAGTTGGGGGGGTTCAGGGAGCCCCCTCAAATCCACCTGAGCACGAAAGTCAGGCCTTTCACCCTAAGCCCTAAGCCCCAAAGCACTAACCACAAAGCCTTAAGCCCAAAACCCTACGCTCCGCCACCCCTCAACTATCAGCCTCGGCCTTTGCAAGCGCCGAAAAACCCTGCCGACATGGTTACAACCCCCAGCAGACAGTTCTAGGGTTTAGGGTTAAGGGTTTAGGGCGTAGGGTTTCGGGTTCGAGGCTTTGCAAGTTTAGGGTTCAGGGTTTTGGGTTGTAACATCGCTTGCGATTCCTAGGTTTTTCGTGCAGCCTGGCGCTTTCACAAACCATCCCCAACGACATCCCACTTCCCAGCCTGAACCCAAATTAGGGTTTAGGGTTCTGGGTTTCGGGCCTAACGCAACCCTAATAACCGCCTAGGCTCTACACCCCCGAGCCCGAGGTCTGGGGTTTTGGGCTTGACAGGCTCCTTTCGGTTTCTAGAGTGCACTTGGGGTCCCAGGGCAGCCCGAAGCGGCCACAACACCTCCTGAAGCCCTGAATGTTTCTAAAGCCCTTCATCCCCTGGGCACCCTCAACCCTAAACCCTAAACCGTAAACCCTAAACCCGAAACACGGAAAACCCATCAATTCCCCCCGCTCCCTCCCCGCACGGCCGCCCCAGAAGGTCGAGCCACGCCTTCATCGTGAGGCGGTTTAGGGTTTCGGGTGCAGGGTTTTTAGGGCGGAAATACGGTTTTAGGGCAGACATGGGGTTTTTAGGGTTTAGGGCTTTAGGGGAGAGGTCTTGACCCCGCCAGGGATGCAAGCCTCAAGCCCCCAACATACTAAACCCAAAGGCCCCTCAAGATCCAGCTCAGGGTTTTCTCCCTAACGTGGTTCTCCCTGTGCCCATACCCAGCAATTGGGGAAGAGATCTGCACGACTTTGTGAGAACTGCTAAGATGGTCATCGCTTCTCGGGAGGTGGGAGAGTTGAGGGTTCAGAGGTCCAAGGATTGAGCCCCAGGCCCCTAAGCCCCGGTGTGTTCAAACCAAAACCCTCAAACCCTAAGAGCCCCAAGAGGCCCTGAACTTGAAGAAGGCAAGCCGAGAACCTGCTCTCCTAACCTCCTCAGACCGCAGAATCCTCTGAGATTCTTGAGCTTGGTGCTCTGTTTCGCGAGCCTCGGGCTTTTGGCCTTCTCGGGGTTTAGGAAAAACACATCATCTCTAGACCCCAAACTTCTCCAACCATTCCGAAGCCATTCCTCTTCATCCAACCCGAAACCTTGAAGCGCCACATGAGCCCGGAAGGCTGATCCACATCTTCCAGACGCAGTCCTACTACGCCCTGCTGATGGAGCTCTGCCGCCTGCCTGGACTTGATTACGACCAACCGGGTACGGCGGCGACGACGACGATTTCCATTCCTTTGCTATTCTGATTATGCTGACTTGTGTTATCATTTTTCGGGCCACGCTGACTATTCCCGCTATTCTCTTCATCCCATCGTAGGATGGGATCTCGGGTTCGGTTCGGGGGTTTAGGGTTTAGGAATTTACGGAGAGTTTAGGGCTTAGAGTTGGAGGTCTAGAGTTTAGGTTAGGAGCTTAGGGTTGAGAGTCCAGCGAAAAACAACCGACAAGCTGCACATTTTCCCCAGCACCTGGCTCTACTTCCCGAGATTGGCAGCGGAAGGTACCCTCCCTCCCGACTGTCGTGACGAAGCCCCTAAGACCCTTCCTTCAAGGCTAAACCACTGAACTCTCAGCCCTAAACAGAGCCGCGAAGGCGACAAGAGCCTGAATGCCTGCATTCTGGACCACGTGTCCAGCAGCGGGCGTGTAGAGGGCCTCCCGGAGGACGTGGCCAGGCCGGCTCGGGTTTCAAAGTTTTAGGGTTCGGCTTTACGACACTGGATGGCGCCATTTGCTTGGTCGCCTCGCAACAGCGCCACAAACGGATCCTATCAGGAGCTCACGGGCCAAGGGCGGCCTTCGTGAGCCTGAGTGGGCGATGGCGAGCGATAAGCCCCAAACCCGACAAACCTATTTGCTCTCAACATGATTGTATTGTTTGGGGGAGGTGGGAGAGGGTACCCCTAACCACACAAGTTTTCAGGCCCCCCAGAATAAGTTTCTACAGTCTCCTTAGGGCTTGTGGTCAGACAAACCCCCTCGCCCTCAGGCGGTATGCTGCCTGCATCACCCTTGCCTTGGATTACCTGCACCAACAAAAGGCCGGGCTCGTGCATGCTCTGCGGTTTGGGGGTGAAAAGGGTTTGGGGCTTACAGGGTGCCCAGCCGTTGCACGGTTTGGGGTTGTATAGAGTTTAGGGGTTTCGTTAGGGGTTATGTTAGGGGTTAGGGTTTAGCACCAAACCGGACACCTCCGCATAAGGTTTAGGTACTACACCCTAAACCCTTGGCAAGGTTGTGTTTCGGGACTTGAAGCCCGACAACGTGCTCGTCACCTTCCAAGACGCTCGTCTCCTTGGGTTTGGGGTTTAGGGTTTCGGGCTTAGGGGTTTAGGGTAGCACCACTTGTCTGAGCTTGTCGACCCGAAAGCCCTAAAGCTCGAAAACCTAGAACCCGGATCCTGGGGTATCGGTTTGGGGTTTAGGGCTGAGGTCTTCTGCTGAAGCTCCGTAGTAGGATCGGCATCCCGCAGCCGAAGCCTGTGCCTGAGGCATTGCCCCGAAACCGACAATGAGCCCAAATTGAAAACCCTGAGCCCTGAGCCCTACATCCTAAACCCTGAGCCCAGAACCGAGAACCCCAAACCCTGAACCCTAACTACCCGAACCCCTGAATGCTGAACCTAAACCCGAACCTAACGCAATGGAAATCAAGGATCATGCAGTCCTGAGCCTGAAAAACCGCCTACAACGGCCGATAGCCTCCCCAGCCCTAAGCTTGTAACCCTCAAGGACTTAAATCCCCTGAAGCCCTGAACCCCAAACCCCAAACCCCAAACCCCAAACCCTAAACCCCAAACCCCAAACCCTAAACCCCAAGCCCTAAGCCCTAAACCCTACAAAGGACAACTTGGCGAAGCTGGCCGACTTTGGCCTGGCAAGGTCGCTGGATCCCAGCTTCCTGGACAAAGGCCACAACTGCCCTCATCCCTTTTCGCTTACAGCGACAGTTGCATTTATGCACACAGATGTATGTATGTATGTATGCATGCATGCATGTATGTATGTATGTATGTATGTATGTATGTATGTATGTATGAATGAATGAATGAATGTATGAATGTATGTATGAATGAATGGGTTTATGTATGTATGTATGTATGTATGTATGTATGTATGTATGTATGTATGTATGTATGTATGTATGTATGTATGTATGTATGTATGTATGTATGCATGTCCACATATATCTGTTGTTTATCATTTTTTCGCGCCTTGTTGCGTTGGCTTGAGTTTTACTTCTTCGGGCCTGGGTCTTACATCGGGTTCCTTTGACAGAGAGAGGGTTGGGGTTTGTGTGTTTTTCGGGGGTTCAGCGTTCCAGAATTTCAGACAGGTTTGGCTCAGGGATATAAACCTCTAAACCCGACAGTGTGGCCTCAACTTCCAAACCTTATGTGAGTGGCCAGATCCCCTGAAAGCCTTCCTTCTCACAGGCGCAAGGAGCATGTGTGGACCTAATTCCAAATCCGCAATCTTTCGCACCCCAAGGCCTAAACCTTCAAAACTCGAAAACCTAGAAACCCTGCATCCTTCTAAACCTCCTCCTAACCATGCGCGCAGGCGCCGATCCCGACAGCGACAACGACGAAAAGGCGCAACCTTCCCTCCCCGAGTAACAAAGACAAGGCTAGCTTCTGCGCCATCTCAGCCCTACACCCTACACCCTACACCCTACACCCTACACCCTACACCCTACACCCTACACCCTACACCCTACACCCTACACCCTAAACCCTACACCCTAAACCCTAAACCCTAAACCCCAAACCCTAAACCCTAAACCCTAAACCCCAACCTCCCCCACTGTACCAGGCCCTGAGTCCGTACTCGTCCACCGTGTGTGGCACGCCGCGGTTCATGGCGCCCGAGGCGCCCCGAACCATCTCTCCTGGGGTTTGGGGTTTGGGGTTTGGGGTTTAGGGTTTGGGGTTGGTTTAGGGTTTAGAGTTCAGGGTTCAGGGCTTACTGGAGTTGATTTGGGAGTAAATACATGTTTTCACTTTTATTGGCCCTAGTTAACCACCTTTGCGGCCCTACCCAGGCCCAGACATGTACTTTTTCAGTTGAGGGTTTAGGGAAGCAAGGCTCGCCCTCAAAGGTCAGGCGGGGCGGCTTGCTAATTTTTTTTGCGGGCACGGGGGGGGGGGGGGGGGGGGGGGGGGTGATTCTTGCTGGGTTTAGGGTGCAGGACTTAGGGGTTCGGGGTTTAGCACGAGCGAGTCCTTGCCGTGGTCGGGAGCTGGAGCTTGGTTCATATGTGGGATAGGGTTTTTTGAGTTTAGGGCTCAGGGTTGAGGTCATCTGATGGCTCTTGCACTGTAGGTGTTTTTGGACTGTAGAGCCCTGAACCCCATCACCTGAGCCCTACAAGGCTGTCACGGTTTGCTGTTAAGCTGTTCCCCACTCCCAAAACGGGTCATTGCTGGAGACCATTTTACATGTTTATGAATACTTATGGTCATTGTTAAATAGTACCCCAACAATGGAGCAGAAAAGGTCTATGATGAGCCGAAGTTTATCGACTCTGAAGACGATGAGGCAGAGGCCCGGCAGAGGTCGCCACATCGCGACTACCCTACTCGAGGTTCCTAGCTGGCCCGAAACCCTAAGCCCCTAGACTTGCATCCCTGAACTCGGCCCTCCGCAACTTAAACCCTCAAAGAACCCTGTATGTTGAGGGGTTTGAGGGTTTTGAGGCTGTAGGGGTTTAGGCTTGTGAGGGTCTTTAGCTGCTTGTGAGGACTTCGATCCGTATATCTTGCTTCCTTTCTGACTTGTTGCTGAACCTGCCCTAGATTGGGGGCTCAGGATGTAAGATGCTTTGGCATTCCTACATCTCGGGTTTTGGTCTGGGGCCCAAATCCGGTGGGTGCAGGGTTTAGGCCTTGGTTCAGGGGATGGCAAGATACCTAAAACCCGGTACTCGCCATGAATTGCAGATTCTGGGCTGGCTCAGAAGCAACTAGAACTGATGTAATAGCCTTATCCGCGTACTTACTTATAGTTAGCTACCAGCACTGAAGTGCACCCTAAACCCTAAAACCTAAACCTTAAATCGCCGCCAGGAGCACGCCATCAAGCGAGTTCTAAGCCGGGATTGGTATGCGCGACCGGGCGGCAGTAAGCCCGCTATCGGATTGAATGCTCACGGGTTTGGTGTAGTTTAATCTACCTGGTATTCTTACTGGATACCTACTATTCCCATGTGGTTTCCTATCTTCTGGGATTCAGAAAGGGCTGAGGCTTCGAGCCGAACTCATCTTGTTTTCACCCTGGGCCAGAAATGTCCTCACCTGCCGTCCGTCCGCGCCACCCTCACTTGTTGGTGGAAACTCCCTGAGCTCGGTTTCCTGACAACTGCAACCGTAGAAGCAAAGCGCTGCGGATCGCAACCGCTCTATTTCGATATGGGTTCAGGGGTTGCGGGGCTTGGGGATGTGGGGGCTTAGGTTTAGGTTTCAGGGCTTCGCGGCTTAAGGTAGTAGGAGCCCCTGTCGTTTGTATGGCTACAGTATCTAGGCCATTTTTTGATGGTTTTGACGAGTTCAGAGGGGAAGAATCTTGAGATTTCTTTGTGCTCCTGCATTAGGGTGGCGGGCTATAGGTGGAGAACATCTAGGGGAATGCTATGGCCACGGCGGACGCGTCTTATCCCTGCAGCCCTACACACCAAACCCTAAAACCCCAAACCCTAAACCCCAAACCCTAAACCCCAGACCCTAAACCCCAACCCTAAACCCCAACCCTAAACCCCGAACCCTAAGCCCCAAACCTCAAACCCTAAACTTTGTTTTCGAAGCGGTCCTGGGTTCCGGGGCTCAGGGGTTGAGGGCCCCTGCAGAGGTCTACGGGAGTTCTTGCGAATCGCCCCCCCCCCCCCCCAACCCAAAGCAAGTCCTCCTGTGGTTGACATAGGGTTAAAGAGCGCGGCGAGATGTATTTGTGGATGGTGGAAAGGCAAACCCCAAACCAAACCGCGAACCCTGAAACCACAAGCACTGCATGCCTCTCCCCCACCCCCCCCCACTCCCCACAAAGTAGGGCATGAGGGAACCGGGTTCAGAGCTGATAATCTTAGCTCCAGGTCTCAGGGCATTCAATGTCTACTGTAGGGCTTTTACGGTTCAAAGGCCCCACAAAAAAATAGGAGGCCAAACCCGCCTGGCGCCCAATCTGAGGTTGGGCTGCTGCCTGCTCTTGATGTTGCTTGGCCAGGATGGTGGATCGCTCGCCGAGATGAAAGGCCCCCATTGGGTTCTTTCCGGGCAGGGACTTAGGGGTTTCAGGGTTTCAGGGTTTCAGGGTTTCAGGGTTTCAGGGTTTCAGGGTTTCAGGGTTTAGGGTTTCGGGGCTTAGATGCAGTGTGTGTAGGGGTTAGGACCGGTTGAGGAGTCAGGGTTCGTCGTGGCTCCTACTTACTAGCGTGGCTTCGGTACGGCAGCGAGCAAACAACAAAGACACATCCCATGACAAAGACACCCTACCCGACAACTTTTTTTTTTGGGTTGGTTCCCTTTAAGCCCCATTCAGCAAGCATTCTTGTTCGTAGGTAGCCGGGGAACTTAGAAAGCCCTTCTCTACCATACTGGGAGTAGTATAGTAAAGAACACAGTATCCTTATGATGGCAACTTCCTCCCTAAACCTTACACCCTAAACCCTCAACCCTCAACCCTAAACTCTAAACCCTCAAGAAGGACCTAGTTAAAAGCAGGCTTGAGTTCCTTAACAGGTCACCCTTGAACCGACGAAGAGGACGCAGGGCTCATAGGGCTTTACGTGCGTACGTACGGATTCCTGGGCTTCATTGCGGGTTTTATAGGGTGTCGCCCTAAACCCTAAACCCTAAACCCTAAACCCTAAACCCTAAACCCTAAACCCTAAACCCTAAACCCTAAACCCTAAACCCTAAACCCTAAACCCATAAACCCTAAACCCTAAACCCTAAACCCTAAACCCTAAACCCTAAACCCTAAACCCTAAACCCTAAACCCTAAACCCTAAACCCTAAACCCTAAACCCTAAACCAAACCCTAAACCCTAAACCCTAAACTCTAAACCCTTTAAAACATGAGCCCTCAGCTTGGAATCCCCCCCCCTCCCACAAACCCTACCGCCAGGTCGAAGAGTACTTCTCCCACCGTCTGGGCCAGCAGCCCCGGGGGGTCTTGTCTTTTGGGGGGCTGAAGGGTTTTAGAGTTTAGGGTTTGGGGTTTAGGGTTTCCGGTTTAGGGTTTAGGGTTCCCCAGCTTCCTAGGATGTTTTCGGAATTCAGAGGGGGGGCTTAAGGTTTCCGTGGGCTTAAGGTTGCTGGATATGGTTTGTTGGCCGATGGCTTCAAGCTGTGCTTGGGTGTTCAGAAGAGGCGGGAGTCTACCTTTAAAGGGAGCCCTTCAGCAGAGCGCTGAGGCTTTTTCAGGTTTTCGGCACCAGGGTCTCGGGTTTGGGGCTTCATTCCCCAAAACCCTAATTTCCTGAGCCTTGAAATCTAAAGAACGTTGAAGGTGTTTTCGGACCTAAGCCCTGAACCCTAAAGGGTTGAACCCTAAAGGGTTTTTAAAGACCTAAACCCTCAACTCCACAAGGGGGAAACTCTCAATCCCGAAGCTTGTTCAGCCCAAGCTCTCGTGATTGCGCCCTGTCAGGCCCCCAAACCCTAAACATGGCCATTGGCGGGCTCCCGAGACAGAGCGGACGTACATTCCACAGCACGGTGATAAGAAAAACCTCTGGGCAGGACAAGGGGTCCGTTGCTAAGGCCTGCAGGCTTTACGGCCGCCATTCTGGAGCAAGGCGCCGGCACTTGGCCAGCGCTGTTTCCAAGGACGTGCTGAGGACACGGCTTCTGTCGGATGTGGGCTCCAAAAGGTCACGGCGAAGGGCATGTTGAACCCTAAACCCTAAACCCTAAACCCTAAACCCTAAACCCTAAACCCTCAACCCTAAACCCTGAACAACCCCAAACCCTAAACCCTAAACAACCCCAAACCCTAAACCCTAAACCCTAAACCCTAAACCCTTAGACCATCCCTCCCGAGGCAGCCGGAGATCACCTGCTCCTTGCGAAAGGCCTCGAAGAAAGGCGGGCAGGGAACCTGGGTGCTAGGATACCCCGTAGTGCCCTTAGGGTTTTAGGGTTTAAGGTTTAGGGTTTAGGGTGTAGGTTTAGGGTTTTTAGGGTTTAGGGTGCTAGGATGCCCAGTAGTGCCCGTAGTCCCTTTTTTGGGGGGTCGGTTCCCTTGTAAACCCTTTCCGCAAAGAAGGGCACCCGTTTTAATCTTGGGATACTGGGGAACCTGGGTGTTTCAGCATTGGGGACGTAGTGACGGAAGGCTTGGGGTTGGGTTTAGGGTTTAGGGGTTTAGGGGTTTAGGGGTTTAGGGGTTTAGGGGTTGAGGGGTTGAGGGGTTGAGGGGTTGAGGGGTTGAGGGGTTGAGGGGTTGAGGGGTTGAGGGGGGCTCAGAGGTTTAGGGATTTAAGGGTTCCGGGCTAGTTTGGGTGTTAAGGATTTCAGCAGGTCCGGGTTTCAGGTTTTCTTCTTGGCAGGCAACCGGAAGAAGGTGCAGCCCTACGGTCCTCTCTTGTGCTCTCTACCTCCCAAGCCAGCGTTGTCCACGCTCTTAGAGGGTTTACTCGAAGCCCCAAGCCCCACAACCCCCAACCCCCAGACTGTACTAGGGCTTCTAGGGAATTAGGGAATTGGGTCCTTATATAGAACCCTGTAGGGTACGTACTTCCCTCCCCTATGACTCCAAGATTGTAAGCCTGAAATCCAAGCCCTTGCTTATCGTCCATCCATCGACGGTGCCCATATCGAGCCACAATGCCCACGACCTTGGCCCTCAACCTTCGACCCTCAGCAAGCCAAAACCTTAAACCCTAAACCCGAAACCCGAAACACGAAGCCTGGCAAGGCCTCATCGATGAGTACGCGCTGCACCTCATAGATGCACTGACGGCGCCAGTGGAGGCCTGCTCGGAAGGGTTGAAGATTTTTTTGACCCTCAACCCAAAGACCTATACCTCACCCTCAACACCCAATGGAAAGTTGATGGCTTCGTTGTCAGGCTGCAGTCAGGCGGCCAACAGATTTTGGGTTTACGTTCAGATTTGTTGCTTAGAGAGGTTTAGAGGATGGAAGGGCAGATACCCACCCCCCCCCCCCCCATGCCAAAGGGAAAGGAACGCCGGAGGGGTCTCCAGTTTGGATGAGTTGTCGGATGTATGTGAAACTCTTGGCATAGACCCAGTAGGGAGTTGTAAGTAAGCCGGGTTGACGTAGTCTGCGTAACCCTATTCTGCAAACCTCCGCTGAATGTAGAGTGCCAAGCTGCCCGCATACTTAGAAAGGTCAAAGGTTTACTCCACCTATATCTCAGGCCGGATGTTATGAGCCATCTTCGCTTTTGATCAACCAACGCTGAAAACTTAAGGATGTGGCTGCTTTTGCCTGTATGTATATAGTAGTAGGTGCTGAGATGTTTAGGGCTTGCGCTCCATGGCTTGGTGTTTAGGTGTTTAGGGTCAAGAGGCTTCAGGGTTTGACGGGTATTCGGTGCACAGGTTCGATTTTGGGGCTTCTAGGTACGGGGACTCTTCAGGCTCAGGGTTACATGCCCCAGTGCCCTAAACCCTGGACCCCAGCCGAGCAAGGCTTTCATGCTTCTTTGATGACAGCATGCGCGGCCTTGCAGCCTCTTTGAGCTTTCAGATTTAAATGATTTGAGGGGTCGGAACATCCCTAAAATGCTCGGCCGGCGCAGGCACGGGCAAGCGCCGCGGAGGTAAGGGTACAGCAGCTTGGGCCGCAACTGTGGGGGCTGTGTTGCATTAGGGGTTAGGGTTTAGGGTTTAGGGTTTCAGGTTTAGGGTTTAATAACATGACGTCGGGAACTCTCAGTACGAGTTCGTGGGTTGGGCTGCTGTTGGCGCATGGGCTTCGGTGTTTCCATGCTTGGGAGACCCTGCCCTGCACTTAGAGGTTTTATCATGGCCAAACCCGAAGCTTCGCACGCAGGCCCTTCATGAAGGCCGCGATCATTGAGATGGAGAAGTTCGCTGGGCACATCGCGGACACCCGCAGTTGAAAACTTTTCTGGTGGCCAAACAGCCTCCAATAAACGAACGTCCGCTTTTTAAAACTTTAATTTGACCCAACGTGCTGTAGAGACTTTGCACGCAGCTGCAACGTGAATACCCTTTTCCAGTCGGAAAGTGGCCCTTCTTGCCGTAGCCGGACCCCATTCGCGCGCTTCGCACGCAAATGGCGATGTGAGATCGTGGTGCGGCTTGCACGTGGTATGCTGGGACCTTGAAACGAGGGAGCAAGGCTTGGGAGTTCTGTCACATGACTGACGAAATTTGTATGTCGAAACCGTACGGTTGGGCCCCCTTTCCAGCTAGCTCTTCCTTGCAGGCTGCAGAATGCTGCCCAGGGCGTACAGAAGCACTGCAGATGCAACGTCCTTTGCGGACCCTGACTTTTGAATGGGTTGAGGGTTTAGGGTGTTTAAGGTTTAGGGTTTTTCAGTTTAGGGTTTAGGGCTATCAGGTGCTGAAGGCTGAATCGTTGGGATTGGGAGCATTCCTCAGAAGGAGCCGAATAAGCCCCAGCAGAAGTCCTACTCTACATCTTTATTGCCGTGCAGAGAAGGCCCGGAGCCTTCCGAATTCCCAAAAGAGACTACTTCTTTCCCCCCAACCCTCAGCCCTCAGCGCTCAACCCTCAACCCCAAACCGAAAAGCCTGGATGACACTGCGAGGCTTCCTAGGTACCCTGCAGAGAGCAAGGCTTTGGGTTCACAAGGTAGCAGCTATTTAGTCACTTCTCTAAATTTAGGGTCCCTTTTTGAGGCTGCCATGATAAGGCACGCCCTAACCTAATGTTTAGGGTTCCCTAAGAAGGGGCTGTAATTTTGAGAATGATCATAGATCATTTTAGGATCCTGGGTCCTCTTTTGCGGACACTTGCATCGGTTCTGCGGCACAGTTTTTCAGCCTATCCGCGTACGCTGTGCTGCATAGTGCTAATTCAAGCAGATTCCGCACCCTGCCAGTTCTTGTGCCGGCGAAATGGCCAGTCTCGGATTTAGGGTTGGCAGTAGGTTTAGCGTTTAGGGTTTTAGGCTTCAGCCAACACCGAAAACTGCCAATCTCGGATAAGCTGCCGGGACCCTCCACCCTATACTCACGGTTTAGGGAATCAGAAATAGGTACCTCAAACAGCCTTAGAGGGGAAATATGTCTTAAATATGTTGAGCCAACATCCCTGATTATCTGATTCTCCACTCGATACCAGAAATTAGGTTTGGCCTTGGGGAAAGGGGAACTGTGTCGCATCTAGCTTTGCAAAAAAAGGTTCTGGGAAGGGGCTTAAAGCACTTAGCCCTGTACAAGTTCCAGCAGGTATGCGACCGAAGAGAGGCAATTTCGGGATGCCCAGATGCTTCTCATTTTGGGGGTTTCCGAAACCAGGGGTATTTTGTTCGGGTCCTGATTATAAGGGAATCCTACTATGTGGGGGTCTAGATTAGGGTCCCCCTACCCTAAAGCCTAAACCCTAAACCCTAAACCCTAAACCCTAAACCCTAAACCCTAAACCCTAAACCCTAAACCCTAAACCCTAAACCCGAAACCCGAAACCCGAAACCCGAAACCCGAACCCCGAAACCCTACAACCCGAAACCCTAAACCCTAAACCCTAAACCCTAAACCCTAAACCCTAAACCCTAAACCCTAAACCCTAAACCCTAAACCCTAAACCCTAAACCCTAAACCCTAAACCCTAAACCCTAAACCCCAACCCAAAACCCTCTAAACCCTAAACCCTAAACCCCTATTTCGTAAACCACCTTTCCGGTTTCGACCGGCACCAGATCTGGCGGTGCTCCATGGTTGCCAGCCATGCCGCCTGAACTTCGGTCAAAGCCAGCCCTCAAACCTGAACCCTAAACCCTAAACCCTAAACCCTAAACCCTAAACCCTGAACCTTGAACCCTGAACCCTGAACCCTGAACCCTAAGAAGGCTTCCAACGAGGAGGGTTTAGGGTCTAGGGTTTATCTAGAGCCCCAGCCACACTGAGAGATCCCAAGCACCCCAAACTCGTGAAAGATCCAGCCGCCCCCCCGCCCCTCCCCTCCCCGGCCAAGCCCTAGGGACCCAAACCTCAAGCTTTTCGTGGTTGCTGTACCTCCATAGCTTAAACCGGGGTGGAAATGGCCAATAGCTAGCCTTCTTGCGATAGGACTTCAGGAGTTGGCCCTTTCCGCAGGCCAACGTTCAGAACTTACCCTGGAATTCAATCCCTAAACAAATCTAAGCCCTAAACCCTCAACCGTAAACCGTAAACCCTAAACCCTAAACCCTGAACCCTGAACCCTGAACCCTGAACCCTGAACCCTGAACCCTGAACCCCAGCCTTTTGTACTCCCTGAGTGCTTTTTTCTACTCTTAGGGTGCCACAAAACCCTAAACTCCAGATCCTAAACTCGGGGTCTAAGGGGTGACTGCAGCCTTCGTTCATGTTAATGGGGCTTTAAGTGTCTAGGGGTGTAGTACGTCTCCATGACCCCTGAGCGCGCAGCAAACAGAACACTGCGAAGGGCGTCGACTGTCAAAATCTGGGTTTTGGGATGTAGGTCTCATCTTTCAGTGGTTAGGGATATCGGTTTCTGGGTTCACTAAAGCCCTTGTTTTTTTGTGTTGTTTTTGGCTTGACAATGGAGCAGGCTCATGGAGATATTAACCTTTAGGCTGCCTGATTGAATCATGCAAGTTACTTGAGGAGTTCCCAGGAGAATCGCTCCTTTTTTGCTGTCTCGCGACGAATTGTGCTCGTGGGGGAACTGAGTGCGCGCCAGCTAGCTCGCCTTCAAACGGGCTCGACTGGCCTGCCGCACAGCAGACCTTCTAATTCAGAATCAAGCGGCGACCTCCTTGTCAAAACTCGGAAACATGCCGTTTGACAACGTCTCCGGTGACTGCAAGGCCACTTATGCTAAGAGTCAGCTCCCCCAAGCACCAACACCCTCCCCCACCCCCTCAAATACCCTAAGGCCCTCCTTGTCCCTAACGGGCCTGTTCGACCTTATACCCCAAGCTTAGGCCCTAAACCCTAAACCCTAAACCCTAAACCCTAAACCCTAAACCCTAAACCCTAAACCCTAAACCCTAAACCCTAAACCCTAAACCCTCAACCCTGGGTTTAGAGGTCCGAGATCCTGCTCTCGGTAGCTTTGTGGCATGGGTGCCCGCGGCTGAAAGGTCATAGAGCAGCACCGAGTTAGACAAGTGGTTTGTGAGGCTTAGTAGGGTACTTAAGGGCCTTCAATGCAATTAGGGCTTTTTGGGGCATGTAGAGTATGGGGCCTATAAGGCTTAAGGATGAACAAGGCATTTGCTTAGCACTTGGGTTTAGGATGGTTCAGGCTTTGGGGTTGCAATCGCTGGTTGCCCTCCTAAGCACGAACCACCCCTGCCACCCCTCCCAGTCCCAACCCCCCCCCCCCTCGATCCTAAACCCTAAAGCCTAAACCACACCCTCAACCCCAAAACCCCCAAAACCCCAAGCTCTAAACCTAAACCCCCCACCCCCCCCGCCCCCCTCCGAACCCGAAAAACCCGAGGAACACCAGGAACAGCAGTGTGCCCTTGACTTGCATACACGGGGCCTTTTGCCTTGACGGGGGCCCTGGGCGCAGGGCAGCGGTGTCGGTGCTTGGAAGGTTTAGTAATTTGGGGTTTAGGGTTACTGGACCCCAAAGGACACAACTTCTAGCCAGTCATTATTCTGGCGAGGCTGCATCGTAAGGGGTTTCGGATATAGGGCTTGTGCGGTCAACCCTAAATCCTAAACCTTAAAGACTTCATGGGGTGAGGGTAGTCTTCCGTCTGGCATTTCCGGCTGACATGTGCAAGACTAGCAGTTTAGGGTTTAGAGGGTGTTAGGGTGTTAGGGCTTGGGGTATAGGGTGCAGGGTCTCGGGTTTCGTTGATGGGCTCATACCTCTACAAGAACGAATGTTGCCCCTTGCAAGCCCCGTACTGCAGCCTCTGGTGCCTTCGCTGGCCGTGTGCAGTAGTGCCGCATTTTCTGCAAGCACGTACAGGACGAGCGGACGCCGAGGAGGGGACCCTCCAAGGCGTAGGCTAGGCCTTCCTCAAAAAGGGTCTGATTGTGAGTCATAGGGTCATAGGGCTTAGTGTTTAGGGACCGGGGCTTCAGGCTTAGGATGCTCTTCTTGATGCTCCTTTCCGGCATAAGAAGCCTTCGAAAGCGAAGCCTCCTCGCTCATCTGCGGCAGGCGGGGTGTGTCAGGGAGGGCTGCTGCTGGTGACCCGCAGGGAGGTCGAGGGCACGCCTAGTGCGCCCCGCCGACTTCTACAATCCTTACAGGAGCCTTGACAAGAGTACCACTATTCATCGGAAACCCCATATATGCTTGTACGAGTTGACCACGTATCCTCGACTAAAGCCGCGGGTGCACAGGCAGTGGCTTTCCCTGAGGTGCGCCCCAAGCTCATCTTTAGGCCGGAGCCAGGCAGCTTCCTGTCCTCGTGGGAATCTAGCTTGGAAGTTCCCTAAACTCTAAACTTTAAACCCTAAACCCTAAACCTTTGTGGATCCTCAGAACCGGGGTCATACGTAAGGGCAACTAAAGGTTATACCTGGCTCATGAACCTTACGTGGCGTATTGCAGAACTGACCGTGAGCCTTCCAGAAAGCGTTTCCGACCCTGCTTAGACCCGCAGCCCTTTCAGTGAGACCCCCCCTGCTTATGCCCCTGCTTCAACCTGAATTCAAGTCATCCTTGTATCCGCAGGATTTAGGGTTAGGGGTTTTAGGTTCAGGTTTGCGGGGCTAGGGTCTAGGAGGAGACATGTCGCTTAACCTGAGCAGATCCATCTCAGACAGGGAGCGCCTGACGAATTGGATGCTTGAAGCATCCACACTCTGGCGAGCAAATGTTTTCCGTTTCCCTCTGCCACATAGTACAAAGCACCAGTGTTCACCCGCCTATGTACCAAAAGTGGCTGCCGTGGTCACCGTCTTCGGCTTAAGGCTCAGAATCTGTTAGGCTTGAGGG